GGTGAACAGAGGGGTGGCCTCTGCCAGCTGCCAGTACTATTTTGCCATCAACATAAGTACCCCAGAGGCACATCCTTCAGCCCCAGGCAAGCCTCCAGGTGACTGCAACCTTATTAGAGATCCTAAGGCAGAACCATCCCACCAAGCTGCTTCTAAATTTCTGTCCCATGGGAGACATAAACAATGATGAATATTTGTTAAGTCAGAATAAGTTTGGGCATAATTATTTATATAACAAGAGATAACAAATTATTTAAATATGGCATTGTGGGTTTTAAGTATTTTCTAATTATGGGTTGTGGTTGTAGCTCAGTGGTAGAATGCTTGCCTAGTATGTGTAAGGCCTTGTGTTTGATCCCCAAAACTGCAAAACCAGGAGTGGTAGTACATGCCTGTAATCCCGGCTACTCAGAAGACAGGCAGGAGGATTATGAGTTCATGTCCAGTCTGAGCAACTTATGAGAACTTATCTAAAAAACAAAGAACAACAACAACAAAAAAACACCCTAATTTCCATTATGGTTTGTTCCTTGACCATGGGTCATTTAAAAGTGTGCTATTTAGTTTCCAAATCACTTTTTGTTTTAGTTTGTCTTTTTGGTGTTTTTCTTAATTTTGTTATTCTGATAAAACATATATACATAAAATTTGCCATTAGAATTATTTTTAAGTATATAATTCAGTGGCTTTAATTCCACTCACAATATTGTGCAGCCATCACCACTACATATTTTTAAATTTTTTCATCACCCTAAACGAAAACTCTGTAACCATTAATGAATAACCCTCCTCACCCTTGCCTTTAACCTTGGTAACCTTTAATCTACATTCTGACTCTATCCTATTTTAGACACTTCTTTTAGCTATTTCATATAAGCGTTTTTTTTTTTTTTTTTTTTGTACCAGGGATTGAACCCAGAGGGTGCTTTACCACAGTGCCACATCCGCAGTGCCTTTCATTTTTTATTTTGAGATAGGGTCTCACTAAATTGCTGCGGTTGGCCTTGAACTTTTGATTCTCCTACCACAGTCTCCCGAGTGGCTGGGCTTACAGGTATGTACCACTGCTCCTGCGTGTATGTCTATTCATTTTTAGTCTTTTT